AGAATCAGAACAAACCTAGGCAACTTGGCTTGTCTTCTCTTACTATTCCATACTACCTCTTGCAAAAAAGAGCTTGGGAAAGGATGCCAGTTTCCAGAATCTTCTTCAGAAAAGACACTGCTGCCAATGTCCTACAGGCATCTAAAGCAGGGGACATATTAGAGTAAGCAGCACACCCACTTATTACAGCCCTGGCTACTCCCTATGCAGGACATGTGAATGGCTGTTTCTGAGATGGAGAGCCTCTTCCCATGGCTTTAAGCAAATAACCAGTAATAAGCATTTCTTCTATGTGGCATCCTTTGTCCTACCAGGGAAACAGGATCCTGGCAGTACTCGCAAAGTGATTCACGAATCATCTGCATCATCAAAGACATCTCTGGTTTCTAGCCCATCAAACCTGCTCAAGTGAATCTCTGGTGACAGGCCCCAGGAATCCACATTTTAAACAGACTCCTTCAGTGATTCTTACCACACTGAAGTTTGAGAACCACGTGCTGACCCCACCTGCATGGCCACTCTGAGTGGGCATGCCCGGGGAGAGAATGCGAGCTCCCTGTGGGGCTTCCGCCAAGCCTGAGTGGCGGGTGCATAGCCATGGTTGTGTTGCCTTCCAGGTGCAGCCAGGTTTCTCATTAAGGAGCTGTCATATCACAACCTGGAACTGGAGAGGAACCGCCTCGAAGAGCTGGGAGTTAAACGCCAGTGTGTCTGGCCATTCATTGTTGTGATGGACGACTCTTGTGTCGTGTGGAACATTCACAGTGTCCAAGAGCAGACCAGGTAGGGCACTTCCGGGCAGTCCTGGGGAAGGCTGGCCCAATGCCAGCAAGACAACCATGTTTTGCTTGGCTGTGGTTACACATGGAAGGAAATGAGAGGGGTACAGCTTTTTTAGAACAAAACAATCATCCATGAGACCACCCTCACTAGCACATGTTTAAAATTTAGACATTCAAGATGCCATTAAAGTCCTGGACCATTTCTGCCTCATAGCTTTGGATAGCTATAAAAGTCTGTTGAGACACACTGGTTTATTTAGAAAGACCACCGGCTCCTGAATCAGGTGACCTGCTTTTTAGACCCAGCTCTGCATCATAATGATCTGGATGAAAAGGGAAAGTTAATTCACCTGTGACTCAATTCCATCACCCATACAATTATAGCCAGGCCCAAATCCACAGTTCCTTCTCCTGGAGCAGTGGTGGGGGTCCATGAGGACCAGAGAATGTTAAACCTGGGAAAGCCCTGCACAGTAAGTGGCCCCATGTCAGCAGCCCTGTGCCTCACCGAGACACTGTGCTAGATGACCTCTAGGCCTGTCCAGTTCAAACACTGTGTTTGTGACCTTGTTTCCACTGTGGATTTGAAGCCAGTGAAGTTTTCAAATCTTTATTATACCATAATGACCAGAGCTGGAAAGTATACTTGCATGCTTCAGACCCCTGGCTATCTCCCTTTGGTAGCCTCCTGTTCATTATTCATTTTCAAACAGGGGCTGGATTGCTTTCTCTGCCTTGACATCGTAAACCCCATTCCAGAAGGCATCTTCTGCAGGCAGCGACAGGCGCAGGAATCTGAGCCTGACACCCCTTCTCCATCCTGGGTTCATATAGAGTAAACCAGCCAACTATGTCCTTTCCAGACACTGTATAGTCGTGCTGGCCCTTCCTAAGTGACCCTCTCTTCAGTAATGCTTACTGCCATCTTACATAAACTAACTTGACATTTCATAGCCAGCCTGTGGAAGCAGCAGTCTCCAGTAAGAATGTGTCCTTGAAGAGTGTTTTGCAGCACATTGAAGCAACACCAAAAATTGCCCACTATGCAATCCTGGGCATACAGAAATGGAGCAGCAAGCTGAGTTCTCAGAGCCTGAAGACCCCATTCTCTAGGTGCCATGTGCACGATTTCATCCTCCTTAACATAGACTTGACTCAGAACGTACAGTATGACTTCAACAGGTAGGTCCTGCCTCCTCAATGGGAGTAATCCTGGCATTTACTAATCACTTCCGCCCAGCTCTAGCCTCGTTTTTATTCTTCTGTCCCTGAGTCTTTGAGAAACTGAGTATTCTCTTTATATGGGCCAGAGAAAAGGAGAATTATGAGCCCAAAGTGCTCCTTCATCACCCTTCAAAATGACCTAGACCCTAATAGGTGTTACAACAGAAAATGCTTAAAAAATATTTTAGCCATTTCATTATTCAGTAAGAACTAAAATGGATAAAAACTATTGTATCAACGTAAGTCAGTGTGTGGACCCATAGACCCACTGAAGATTAACTCTTCATCCATCCTCAGAACTCAGAAGGTGATCACTTTCCCCAAATGCCAGTAAGACCCAGAGATCTGGATCCTGTACAGAAAAGCCAGCAGATGGGAATGAATGAGCAGGCTAGCCCTGATCTTGCCCCTACATTATGTCCACATCCTGGAAAATCTGAAATGGCCAAGCAAAGAACGTAAGGGACCATAAAGTCCCTCTTATGTCAACCCCCAACCCTGTAGCTATTCCACGTCTATATATTAAATTTGGCAGGTACGTCCTTCTGTTTGCAGCCAGGATTCTAAAACTGGGAACCCCGCACTCCTCTGCCCTCCTTCCCACAAGTGCATATATAGGGTGTGCAGTCCTGTTCCAGTTTAGGAATGACTAGGACCCTGTGGTGTGTCTAGGACCAAAGTCAGCTCATTTCCTCCTCTCTCAGTGGCATTAATGTCCAAATCAGAGGGCTTGCAAGCCAGTGTTGAAAGGGCCAGCTCTGAGGGGCCAGGGCTGGTTCTGTTGGAGGCTGTCTCCTAACACCTGACACACGTTTCTCTGTGTGTAACTAGTGTGGCTGAGATATGACAGGTAGTCAAAGAAACCTGTTGTGATTATGGTTTAGGTATTTCTGCGAAGATGTGGACTTTAACCTGAGAACAAACAGCAGTGGTCTGCTCATCTGCCGCTTTAACAACTTCAGTCTCATGAAGAAACATGTTCAGGTTGGGGGGCAAAGGGACTTCATCATTAAACCAAAGATCATGGTAAGTTTGCAAGCTTGATTCCACTGTTGGAAATAAGGCAATTTTTTATTAATATCTTTGTTATTTGGTACTGGCATTAAGTAGTTACCACTGGATTGGAAACTGAGAGAACACAGAAGTCAGTTTTTAATGCCAAATCTGCAGTCTCATTTCCTTTACTGAAGACTTGACTCAGGTCAGACAGAAGGCTTGAAAATTCAACAAGATAACCTTTAGATTTAAGGTTAACAACTCCATTAAAGCATCAGTTTCAAACTTAATGTTCTATATTCTTAATGGCAAATTAGCAGTCGTACATTCTTTATGTAGTGTATGAGAGAAATGTCAATCAAAGGGCTGGTTGGGTCCTTTGCCAGATTTTTTTTTTTAGAGAAAGTAATGCAGATTAAGACCTGTTAAGAGTGAATTCCATGGGCCTGCCCTTTTCTGTTTGAGATTTTCCTGGTAGCTAATCATTTCTAACATGGAATCTCCCTAGTGGAGCTTAGAAAGCTCTGTTGTTTTCTTTTTTGTTTCTGATGGGAATTTAACCCAACTACACCCCACAGCACTGTAAGAGGCTTCCTGTTGGACCTCACAATGTTGCTAAATGCAGGAACTTTCAAAGAAGTGTATTTTTCCCTTTTCTCCTGCCCTTGCTGTGTAAATTACGTTACACCCAACTGTACTCCTCCCAAGGGAAAAATAATTTCAGCACCACATGTCAACTCACATTTGAACCTAGCACCTGTCACTGTGCTTCCGCTAGGAATTCGGGAGCGTTGGGATGCAATGCAGTGTTTCCTTGCCCATTTTACCCAGTGGCAGATACATTTCCCATGATAATCTCGGCTCTGATTTCAGGTGTCAGAGAGCTTAGCACCCATCTTGCCCCTTCAGTATGTCTGTGCTCCCGACAGTGAACACACACTACTGGCAGCCCCTGCACAGTTTCTCCTGGAGAAGTTCCTTCAGCACGCCTCATACAAACTCTTCCCCAAAGCCATCCATAACTTCAAGAGTCCTGTGTTGGCCATTGACTGCTACCTTAACATTGGACCAGAGGTAAAGGGGAAGGGGCTACAACTGCGCTTTACCCACTTCCATCCATTTCCTTCCCACTGTAGCTCCCATTTGAAAGCTTAGAGATGAGAAAGGAGCCTGTCATTTACGCAAAGGCTCTTGTCCCCACCCCATACCTGTTTCACCTTCCAGTGAGCCACTGAACACTCAGTGAGCAGCCTACCTCAGTGATAATGCACAGAAGCAGTTGCTTGCTCCTCCGTCGTAACGTATCAGACAGTATTATAATCATGTGACGTTACCTCCACAAGAGTTCTTCTGAGGCACACAGTCCTTCGCCACTGCTTGAGGCACGTAAGAGGAGCTCAACGATTACTGAGCAGCCTCGGGTATCACCACAGCCTTTCCAGCTGTCATGTCACCACTTCCCACTCCTGGACTCTTTTCCAGGGTTTTCTTAATTTTCCATTATTTCCCCTTTCTCTCTCCTTTTCTTTCTCCCCCATCTCCATCTGTCTCAAGTCCTCCATCAGTTTTAGTTTTTTAAAAATATTTCCCACTTGCACCTTGAGGCTTCTGACCACTGATGGCCTTTGGGACTTTAACAGCTTCTGCCATTAATCTTTCCTCTAGGATTATTATTATTTTAAAATATTTTATTCTATTTATTAACATACTATCCTCATGAAGAGTTTTTTTTTAAATAAAAGGTATAAGGAAAAAAATAAAATCACTTGTAATGGGAACAATAACATTTTGTTACATTTCCTTCTAGGCTTTTTTCTTTGCATATACAGACAGACCGCGGAGAGGTTATAGGTTCAGTTCCAGACCACTGCAATAAAGCAAATATCACAATAAAGGAAGTTAAATAAATTTTTTGGTTTCCCAGTGCATATAAAAGTTATATTTATATAATATTGTAGCCTACTAAGTATGAAATAGCATTATGTCAAAAAAAGTATATACATTAAAAAACACTTTATTGCAAAAAATGCTAACCATCATCTGAGCTTACAGCAAGTCATAATTACTGCTCACAGGTCATCATAACAAATATAATAATGAAAAAGTTTGAAATATTGTGAGAATTACCGAAATGTAACAGACACACAAAGTGAGCAGATGCTATTGGAAAAATGATACTAGAATTACTAAGCACAGGGTTGCTACAAACCTTCAATTTGTAAAAAAACACAGTATCTGCAAATGAGGTGTGCCTGTACTGGCCAGCACAACCTAAGGCTGCAGTCCAGTTATACCCAATTTGGGAAACTGATTTTTACAAGTGAACAGTGCAGAAATTTTACAGTCTCATTCTTATGTTAATCTACACTGTGGATTAGACCATGAATGACAGATTTTAGAGGCAGATGTAATCTTAAAAAACCATCAGATAAACTAATGCCTTTTATGTTGTCTATGGAAGTTGCATGTGTAACCGAGCTCTCCCAATTCCTCCACCTCAGGATCCAGAGTTCTAGGTGTCAGACAAAACAATCTCAATACCATACTACTATTAGCAGCCAACACTCACAACTACTTAGTGAATGGCATACATCAATTTTTAATTCACAGAACAGTCTTATTAAACAGATACTACTACCATCTCTACAAACAAGGAAACTGCAGATGGTAAAATGAATGAAGCAAACTGCTCAGTGTCACACGGCTACTAGAGGCACCAGTATCTCAACCCCAGCAGTTGGGCCCACACATGAGCCATTCCACTGTCTCAAGGTCTCCCAACTACTGAATTTACTTCCCTGTAATTTTTGTGAAGTAAATTCATGCACTTTTGTAAGCTTCTATCCAATTGAAAAGTTTATCTAAACAAAAGTCTGATTAAAAATATTCTCATCAATAAGGTAATCTAAACACATACTCTTTCCTGTCTTTTGTGGAATGTAATTTTTTAATATCTTATTCTATAAAGACTCTTAGATGGAGAGGCTTGTTTTGTTTCTTACTACTCATTCTCTCATTACTTCTCTCATATTAAGAGAAACGAGAAGCCGTAAACGAGTCAAAACTTGGCACACTAAAAAAGCAAGGCAAAGCTTTAATACCCAACCCACTAAAATTTTAATGAAGTATTTTTCTCCTTCTGGCCCTGAAACAGACAGCTAAACAGGAAGGTGCTGACTCATTCAGCTGAAGCGCAGGCATTTGCTTGCTTTTGAAACATGCCTGCTCTTTCTGCTTGATGCTTCCAGGTGGCCATATGCTATGTCAGCTCCAGACCCCACTCCAGCAATGTCAACTGTGAAGGCGTATTTTTCAGTGGACTCCTCTTGTACCTCTGTGACTCTTTTGTAGGTGCTGATCTTCTTAAGAAATTTAAGTTTCTAAAAGGTAAATTAAATGTGTAGTACCTTAGTTGTGAATGCTGATGGTTCCCACTGGACATATACAGAGGTGATAAATATAAAAAAGTAGTTTAACAACATTTTTGCAAGAAAATGGAATACCTTGCTTTTAAACCAGGGCCACTGATTTTAACTGGGGCAAAAGAAAAGTCATTGTTTATACTGAGAGACTAAATGAAGCTGAATAGCAAGATTTGTGACCACACTAAGTATGTCTGCCACTATTAATTTTAGAAAGGAATAATGCAAGAAGAGAAGTATGCTTGTCATATATCTGACTTTAATGAAAAATCAGGTTAATGAGTTACAGAAGCTACAAAGTTGCTTCAACAGTTATGCACTATACAAAGAGTTAGACTTGTGAAACTGCAGATTAAGCATCACAAATAATTCTGACATGATGACCTCTGAAGTCAGTGAAAAAAAGATTCATAATATTGTGTACGGAATGCTATTTTTATGAAAACAAGTGAAATTGTGTATGTGCTTATACAACTCATCTGGAGCAGCTGGTGGGCTGAAGCAGGGAGGCAGTAGGCCCCCCAGGGGACATTGGGCATTCACTGAGACATTTTGGGTTGGCACAGTAAGGAGTGCTGGCACACAGTGGGTAGAAGCCAAGGATGCTGCTAACACCCTCCAAGGATGGACAGAGCCCCACAACAGAGACTAACGTAGCCCAGTATGCTGAGGCTGGGGACCCCTGCTCTAGAGGGACATGGGAGAGACATGGTAGCCTTGGTTACCACAGGGAAAGGGAGGATGTGCTTGGAAGATTTTTCACTTCGTATTTTTTAACTTTTAAATTTTTTAATACTACTTATTTAAAATAACAAAATTAATCAGTTCTGATGGGCTGCTTACCTACAAGTTGGTTTTCAGATGTGTTTGCTTAGGGGACATAATCAAAGAGAGGTTGTAAGTAAGGTTCTCTTATCACTGCAATCCTGAGCCTAAGATGCATTCCTGCCGTTCTTCTGCAGGTGCTACCCTGTGCGTCATCTGCCAAGACAGAAGCTCTTTACGCCAAACCATCGTCCGCTTGGAGCTAGAGGATGAGTGGCAGTTCCGCCTCCGGGACGAGTTTCAAACCGCTAACAGCAGTGATGACAAGCCCCTCTACTTTCTGACTGGACGTCATGTATGAGCTTTTGGAAATACAAAAATAGCACAGGGGTGCCTAGGTGGGGTGGGGCAGGAACAATTATTTGGGATTATTTTCCTTTAAAGTACAATCACTGTGGAGCAAAGTGCAACATATTTGTCTATTCTCCAAAGATCACCCCCTCCCCCCAAATCTGACCCAGGTCTTTGTGGGCATCACTGTCCTTCAGTTCCACTTTCAGGACCTTAGATTCAGGTCACTCCGCCCCAGGCAGTTACACAATCACTGGTGACAAGGTCTGCCCGCGGGAGCCTGAGGAGGATATATTTTGGGGAACGACCGTGGAGTTAGCGTTGTCTTTCCAACCATACTGTGTCAGGGGAAGCCGGCTGTCAGCAGCAGCGTTATAGCCTGAAGGAGTTACGTGGGATGTGCACCAATGGTGTGGGATTAATTGAAGATTAACGTTCGAGGCCTGAACCCTCAGTTTCTCTTCAGATCTGTACTTTGGTACAGTACTACTCAGGGGTCTTGAAATGATAGAATGTAGAAGATATTTGTATTTTAAAAAAAGAAGTAGCTTTGTCTTTCTCTGTCAGTGTTAGTTTAAGATTTATAATCTTATATGTATTGAAACTTTTGGCAAAATTTCCACAGGAGTTAAAAAGTTTACTATTTAAACTGAACAAGCAAATCAGTAAATGCAGAGAAGGCACTGTGTGCATAAATTGCAGCTTCTCCTTAACTTCCTTTCTTTCTCCATTCTTTAAAAATGTTTCCAGTCTCTAAGCACACCATGTCTGTGAGAATATGGAACAGTGATTAGTCTTGTACAAGGAGAACCTGATTCAGTAGCTGAGCCAACCGAGACACTTTTAGCAGTCGCCCCACCCCCGCCCTGCTTGGGTGGAATTAGGCAGTTGGCACCAGCAAAGCGTCAGGTTAAGGGTTTGTGCGGGGCGGAACTGGTTTCCTCCGTTTCAGGGACTCAAGCAAAGCTTTCTTTTTAAGATACACTGAGTGAACATTGACTGCCTTTTACTGACAACAACACAGAAATTACTGAAATGAGAAGCAGAGCCAGAGAGAGAGAGAGAACTGACTCCTCCCAGTTACTCTGTGGTAAGAAGTCAGGAAGATTCCATTAAAAGTCTCTGACATTAAAATCAGCAGGGGGTATTCAATATCAACAATAGGAGGTTTAAGTTTCTGCAGATATCTCAAGTACAGTTCTAGAAAATACTCAAGAACAAACTAAGTCTAGGAAGTTTATTCATTAAAATCACTCCAGTTCTCATCATTAAATAACCTCAACATTTTTCTCATTAGCACATATGTAGTACTTTATTCCCACTTGCCATTTTACTTGAACCAGTATCTTACTTGTGACCTGAAACTGAGGGGAGCCTACTTACTAAGCCTACATTTACTTAGAACAATTAAGTGTTAAGTGACCAGCTTTATTATTAGCTGTGATACCAAGGAGTTTACAGCTAGTGAAAAGATGGGACATACTCATCTGAAAATGGTTTGCAGATCTCTTGATTTTAATACAGTTACTTATGATGCTTTCAGTGTATTTTGAAATGAAGAACTCTTTTTAAAACCCCATTTTTAATTGTCCTTCCAAGAGGATCTGCCTTACATATGCTTTAACAATATTCCTTAATTTTAGTACAGCAGAATTTTTGGCAAAGAGGTATGTTTGAAGCAGGTTTATTTAGTATGAATGTACTTCACTTGTTCCTGTTTTGTTGAAAGGGCCTACTGCAGATGGTATCAAGAAACCCACTGTTTGTGCAATATTCCAATAATATTTACTATATAGGGCAAATAAAATACTTGAATAATTCTAAATAGTTGTACCTGGGGCAGATGGCCTCTCCAGGATTCTTCTGGCTTTATGGCTTCACAGTCTTGAGAACATTTTTTAAAGTAGTTACTTTAGATGCAGGTACTCCGTATTACTTAGGCCTGTGCTCTGAAAATTCAAACGATTGTGATCTCTTAAATACCGTTTAACCCTGTGGAAGAGAAATGCCAGAATAGAGCCAAAAAACCATCACTCCAATGATGGAGAATTCAAACTGACCTATTCTTTTCAATGCCTATCTTACTAAGGTTTGGATCTTTTAAAATCACCTTACCAGTATAATTGTTTAGAGAACGTTAGGTCCTTTTCCTGAAAGGATAAAATTGCACAAGCACAGGACACCATGATTTGTTCATACATACTTTTTTGGTGTGTTCAGCTTCAAGTCCTGCCATTCCTTAGAACATTGTGGTATGAATGTGTTTGCTAGGCCTGCATAGTAACTGACCTATAAACCTGTTGAACCTTGCCATGTATGACAGTTCACACAGGTTAATACTGAATGTAAAGTAAAATTAGAATGAGAATTATTGTATTCAGTTATTTGGGCTGTAATTTATGCAATTGCTTTTTGTGATTTTTTAGAAAAGGAGGCACCTGTGTTACTTTATTTCTGTAAAATTTTCTTAACCAAAATTTGGTGAAGTTCACTAGTCAGTCTACCTCACATTTTGTTTATGATTCTAAATTGTCTTTAAGTTGTGGCTACAGTATGTTCTTGTCCTTTGATTTGGTGAATGTATTAAAATTCTCTCCCACCCAAAACAGAAGAAAAAGGTTTACTTTAAACTAATTATTTTATATGTTCAAAATTGTAATAAGCTCCCTGACTCTGGCAATGTCCAAGAAAGGGTGAAGGCAATATATCATGTGTTGAACAATAACGCTGGCATAGCTGTCCAAGAAAATGCTAAGTATTTGTTGAATGAAAATCTGTAGCTCATACAAAGAAGATATACAGGCACATGTGCAAGTATCTGCCCACCATGCCCATTTGCAGAGATCCACATTCAGTATGGATGACAGATCTAGAAATGATTATTAAAGAGATTAGAACTATTCATCATGTATCCCCCGCCTTTTTTTATTTTATAAATGGCAACTACACTCACCTTGGTATCCTTCTTAGAAGAAATTCAGGTTGCTAAAGCATAGTAGTATAACATAAGGCATTAATCTCCAATTTGTTTCGAAACTCTTAATTTTACCAACTTTTGAGAATAACTATTTCAGAAAAATAATTTTCAGCTTCATTACATAAATAGTGCTAAAATGCTAAAGGTAATGGGCTCTGATACAGACCATGAAAACATTCTTCTAGGCCAAAAGGCCTCTGGCCATTCCCATGGGAGGGATAATAAACATTTGTAAGTATAACACATTCAGGAGCAAGTAGGAACAGCCAGTGTTCACTACATATTCCATAACAGCTGCCTGAGAAAGACTAAAGGCTGTGAAAAAACTGCTGCACTTTCATATTCAGCTACCTAAAGCTGCAGCAACATCCAGAGAACAAACTAGGTGCCTGTCGAACAAACAAAATCCTCTGGGCCTCTCTCTCTTCAGTCTTGGAAACTGGCCCTTGGGCTTCCTCTGGATCTGGGAGAACACTAATTTGACACTGAAACCCTGCCTTCACTGAAGAAAACCATCACTAAAGATGATTGCAGGAAGGACCCCTGGGGTCAAAGCGTAAAGCCATTTACACAATTCCTTATGCTCTTAACTGTCAAGTGCTGAGCTGAGGAAAGCATCTACTGCTGTGACTATGACAAGAGATGGCATAAGTTACAAGAAAAAGCAACAAGTTGTTTTCTGACTTCTTTGTTCCGAAAGGAGTCCAGTGTATTTTATTTTTACTAGAAGGCTGGAGAGGAGTTGTTAAAAGACAAAAATCTTTATCTGTTAGAAGGCCTAAGAGTCATGAGAACAGGTAGAAGATGTACACAAGTCTGCCGTCACTACCCCAGAAACTAACTCAGCAATCTTTATGCTCTACTGAAATACAGCTATTTCCATCCAGACACCCTAGCTGGGCAGCAATGCAAAGTTAGCAAGAACAGTTAAAATCATGGAATGTCCATTGTACTTACTGTCTTTATGATAATCATGCTTTAGTAGTAAATATACCAAATACACTTTGCATATTATGAACTGGTAAATATTTTTATAATTCTTGCAAAATAAAATAAAACCATTGCACAGCCATGAAGATAAGGGCATAACCCATAAAATCTTGTGGTTCTTGTCTGTACTTGTGGCTCCTACTGTCTCTACCTGACATTTTTATATTGAACAACTATTCAAGAGCAGCTGACAAAAAAATTTATAGGTGCTCTTGTGTAATCTCAATTACAGATTCAACTTCCTTTTAAGTTTGACTGTGGCCATTAGTATATACTTACTGTATCCACTACTGCCCCCACAACTCTGTAGAGACCACGTCACTCTTCAGCTTTCAGTTTCAACAGTGTTGACCATTCTTTGATTCTTCCAACTCTTCCCTTGGCTTCCATCACTCCTTTCTGGTTCTCTCACCTGGGACACGCCTTCTCTCGTGCTCTTCCTTGAGACTGAGAATAATGGTGTTGATGGTGTTCCTCCTACCCTTTATTACAAACCCCAGGGCATTGATCTCTTCTAAACTTTCATTAATTTCCTAAGGTAAACTTCTGCCGATTTTAAATCAACATATCCAATTATATACTGTACAGATATCCACTTGGAGTTTCTGCAACAACTTAATCCTTACCAAAATGGAATTCATTCTTCCCCCATCCAACCTCCCAACATAATTCACCAGTACTCCCTGCACAGTTGATCCATTTACACAATTATCCAAATCAAATTGCCCTACTACCCTAAATTCTGTGCCATGATCCTTCTTGGGTCAGTTACCAACTCATATCAGTTCTTCAACTGTATCTTCTCAAAGTTTATCTGTCTTCTCATCTTCAACCATAGTTCAGCATTTCAAAATTTTTCACACAGACTGTAAGAGTACTCTCTTAATTACCTTCTAAGCTTTAGATTCACTTGTGAACTACTCCACAGAGCTCTCACAATAACTAAATAAAATGATGCAGCACTAAACACAGTGTGACACACAGCAAACACTCAAATGTTAGATATTACTACTACTATTCCTAGAGAAATACCTAGACTGTAAAAGTTATTTATGGGGCTCTGTCTTCAATGTAAACATGAAAATAAACTGTTTTTCTAGTAATGGTAACATTTAAACCAAACAATTAACGTAGCCTCTCTACCACAAAGCCCCCTTGAAATAACCAAGCATACTATGGGTTATATGGAAATCAGACCAGTGTTATGAGACTAACAGTTATTGGAACATCTATACTATACTCAAAAATTTCATACTCTTTTTAAAAGTTATGGTACCTGTCAGGCAAACCATGAGATCAGGGATGACTAGAAGACTCTAAAGCCCAAAAGTCATGATCACTCAGATGGAAATATTTACACTACCTTACAGTTCCACTCCTACTAAGAGAACAGAGCATGACACTAACTCTATAAATTCAAAAAGCATACTTCTATAGGGGGATAAAATATACTGCTGCCAATATTTAAGTCCTAAATTTTAGCCAGTTTTTAATAGACATAAGATAACTTCACCTCATAAAAATAATCTATGGTAAGCCATAGTGGTGCTTTATTCTTGGGCTGTGGCTCTGCATTTCTTTGAAAAACCAAATGAGACTTCATGTTAAGATTTTGCCTTTCGGAGATAAAGCTCAGAGTTGTTGCTGACATACTGATCCTTTGGCAAACTGGTGAAAATTATTTTAAGGAGCCAGTGTTCTAATTGGACTTCAAGACATCAAATTTAAACTCCCTGAAAAAGCACAAATGACAGCAAACCACTATCACATTTATCACTTAGAAAAAGGCTATCAAGTATTTTATTATTTTATCCTACATTATATACAGGTCATAAAAGGCCACAGCAGTTTTTCAACATATAACCCTTTAAAAGTAGAGGGCATTATGAAGGATTGACAAGTATCAAAATGAAGTCCAGTAACGAGGGCATATACTCAGTGCAGTATTTCTGAGGAGTAACAAAGCAGATACCAAGTCATCCATATTTAGCATCCAACTATTCCACAGGTTTTTATAAACCTCTTTGGGATCTGTTATTGGCCAAATTGCCATTTATTTTAAGAAATGAAACTAGAATAGAAGAATAAGAAACCGTAGAAGGTACCTTCCTTATTCTAGTCCTTTTATAGCTCTCCAAAAAGGAAAGCCTCAATTCCTTACCACCTATGTCTTCCTGCCATCAGAAACAGGAAGGAGAGAGATGGCTAAGCTCATTTGGAACTTTGTTTTTTTTGTGGGAGTTCCTTCAAACACACTTCAGGCCCTTTAATAATTCGCTTTGAGTTCCTAAACATGTAATTATGTACCCTCCCTGAATAGTAACTCAAAAATGTTGGTTTCTGCTCTGTGAAAATACAATCTTTAAAACTATAACTGGTATCAGCAGATCAATATAAAAAAAATACAGTACCAAGCTACACTGGTATATTTCCATATTAAGAACTTCAAAATATACTTATCACTGAGACCATAGTCCTTGCATTAGTTTTCAGTCCACTATGAACTTATCTGCTGCATGTAAACATGTCTAAATAACTATAGATAAAATACATCAATCATAAATTTCTGTAAAAGATAATAAAATATTTTCTTTAAAAAACAAAACAATAATAAGCAATTACTGCATTGTTTCCAATTTTATGAAAATGGAACAACCTTGCACGTTGTTGCCAGTCCTGAGTTCATTGTAGTAAAAATGGCCCTAGTTCCTGGTTAAAGTCAGCCACCAATCTATTCTCTTCAGTAGATGTCTTCTAGTACTGTAGGCAAGAATTTGTTTTAGGTGCTATTTTGTCCATTAATAAAATTATATACCAGAAACTGACCAGTGCCACAGTACTGTGTTGCAAACAGTTTTCCATCAGGAGTAGGATCTGAGAAAGCAATTTCTTCTTTACTCAAATATGAGCCATATATAAAGTTACTCCTATAAAAAAAAAAGGGAGGGGGGGAAGTGGAAGAAAAAAAATATTTTTAATCACCAAAATTAGAAAAACTTGTCAAATACAATTTGACTAGGAAAACTTCTTAGGTGATGTTATATGTTCTAAAAATTTTGAAAATAACTGTTTATCTAAAATATGAATAATGAGGTAAAAAATATTTTATGAAAGCAACAATAGTTTTAAGAACATTTGTCCAATACCTTGCTTTTGATAAAAATATTCAACAACTCTGAGAAAGGAATTTTCTTGACCTGACAAAGAGCATCAATGAACATCAAAATCCACGGTGGAAGACTGAAAACTCTTCTGTAGAGATCAGGAACAAGGTAAGGCTATCTCTGCTTGCACCTCTTTTATTCAACAATATACTGCAAGCTTAAGGAAGTGCAATTAGACAAGGAAAAGAAATAAAAAGCAAGCAGATTGGAAAGTAAGGACTAACTCTTTTTGAAGATGACATTACCTTATACATAAAAAAATCCTAAGGAATTCACACACAAAAAAAACTTAGGTCTAATTAAAAAATTAGTTCAGCAAGGCTGCAGGATACAAGATCAGCATTTAAAAATTAATGATATTTCTATATACTTACAATGAACAACTCAAAACATACTTTAGAAAACAATTCCATTTGCAATAACATTAAAAAATTCAATTACATAAAAGAAGTACAAGACCTGTAAAATGAAAACTACTAAAAATGAAAGCACACTCAAGAAATTAAAGGAAACAAATAGAAAAACACCCCTTGTTTAAGAATGAGAAGACTTAATATTTAAAATGGTATTGCTTGCCAAATATATCTACAGCTGGCTTCTGTGAAGAAACTGACAAGCTGGTCTAAAACTCATAGAAGACTCAATGAATAGTCAAGGGTACTGAAAAAGAACATCAGAGAACTCCCATTTCCTTATTTCAAAACTTACTACAAAGCAACAGTATTCAAAACAGGGTGCCAATGGCGTAACAATAGACTAATGGACTAGAACTGAGAGTCCAGATATAAACCCTCACATTTACAGTCAATGATTTTTGACAAGGGTGCCAAGACCATTCAATGGGAAAGAAGAGCCTTTAGAACAAATGGTGCTGGAACAATTAAGATATCTACATGCAAAGAATGAAGTTGAATTCTATTTCACATCATATACAAAAAATAACTTAAAATGGATCAAAGACCTAAATATAAGATCTAAAACTATAAACTCTTGGAAGAAAGTATAGGCATAAAGCTTTTTGGCCTTAGATTAGGAAATGGCTTCTTAAATATGAAACTAAAAACACAAATACAAAAGAATTCAAAATTATTAACTTCTGTGTTTCAAAGGATACCAAGATGAAAGACAATGAAATGGTAGAAAATATCTGCAGATCACATATCTGATAAGGGACTTGTCACCAGAATATATAAAGAACTAATACACTCGACAAGAAAAAGATAGATAAACCAATTTAAAAATGGATACAGGATTTTGAATAGGCATTTGTTTAAAGATATATAAATGGCTAAAAGCACATGAAAGGATGTTCAACATCATTAACCATCAGGGGAATATAAATTAAAACCACAATGAAATAACACTTTGTACCTGCTAGGATGGCTAAAATAAAAGACAAATGATGATATGAAGAAATTAGAACCTTTATATACTGTAATATATATAATATACAATTACCATATGGCCCAACAATTTTACTCCTAGGCATATACCAAGAAAAATAAAGACATGCAAATATTTCTCCATTTACCAATAAAAATAAAAATACACAAAAATTTGTACATGAATATATTCATGGCATTATAACTCATAATAGCCAGAAAGCAGAAACAACTCAAACATTCATCAACTGATGAAAGGTCAATAAAATGTGGTATATCTGTTTAGTAGAATACCATTTGCAACGATTCATGCTACAACATGGATGATCCTTGAAAACATAATAATCAAGCCAAAGAAACCAGTCATACATTACAGAAATCCATTTATATGAAATGTTCATAACAGGCAAATCCATTGAGATGTGAAGTAGGTTAGTGGCTGACAGCTGATGAGAAGAAAATGGGGAGTGATTTGCTAAAAGATACGGGGTTTTGGAGGGGAGTGATCAAAGTGTCTTGTATTTGACAGTTGTAATAGTTGAAAGCCTGCATATACTAAAACACATGGACTGTACATGTCAAAAAATTTAATTTTGTTACATAATATCTCAATAAAGCTATTGAATTTATTTATTTATTTTTCTGGCCAGGATATAGACTATAAGAATTTTCATACTGTAACAAGGAACAATAAATGAAGAAAGTAGAAACTATGTGTTGTAACAGGAAGCTTATTGTGGCAATCTTACTACAACACAGAAGAAAACACAATGGCTATACTGTTTTATGTTTTCATAAACTAGAACTATCCCCTGGTTATCACAAAACCTAAGTTTACAAGATTTAAAGGAGGAGTGAGACCTTCATTTAGGACTATTGATCAGCTGCATTTTCCAAGTTAGTTCTAAAAGAACTAAAAACAGACCTACCTCTTGTCATGAAAAAGGTAGGTAGATCTGAACCCTTCAGGGTCACTCACTACCCATTGATAAAATTAGAAGATAAGACCAGAAATATATTAAGAATCTAATATGTTTATTAAGATCTCATAATGGATTATTTTGAAAGCTATCCCTACAGATAATAGAAGGCAGGGATTCTAAGAATAAACAAAAATAAGAGACTGACCTAAAACCTTCATTTGCACATTTATTAACTACCTCCATTAATCCTTAAGCAAAAGTGTTTTAAAGAATAAAAACAAAATATATAATCTGAGTCTTTTCCTCTACACCTTTGATTAAAAATCAAGGAATAAATGCAAGAAAAAAAACTAATCAGAGATGGAGATAAAATACAAATAATGTTTAATTTTCCTAAAAGCTAAACTGCCAAGAAACTTCCCTCATTTCTTCAGTTATCTTTGAAACTGTCCAATATTGAACATATTTTAAATAAGTGGGTTATATTGGCCTAATACCATAGTTACAAATAAATTAGTTTAGCAATATTTAAAGTTCTCTTACCCCTCTGACTAAAGTCACATTAAAAAGTGCTTACTTACAAGAGAGGCTAAAGATGGCAGCGTGAGTAGGGCGGCGGAAATCTCCCAAAACCATATACATTTTTGAAAATACAACAAATACAACTATTCCTAACAGAGAGACCAGAAGATACAGCACAACAACCAGGCTACATCTACATCTGTGAGAACTCAGCATCTCATGAAAAGGGTAAGACACAAACCCATGACATGGCAGGACCCGAGCACACCCCCATCCCAGCTCACTGGTGGAAGGAAAAGAATCAGAGTGGGGAGGGAGTGGAAGCACAGGACTGCTAAATAACCAGCCCTAGTAATCTGCATTGGGAATTGGGAGCACAGACACACATTGCATGGTATACTGTATATTAGAGAAATGGAAAAGTAAAATTCATTGCATACTGCTAGCGGGTCCCCACAGCCGGCTCCACTGGGACAAAAGAAAAGTGGGCGCTTTTTAAAAGTCTTAAAGGGACAAGGGCTCAACAGCTGGACAAAATCAGCCCAGCACACTCAGCCGAGCAAGCTAGGAATCTTGAGGAACTTCAGGCCCCCAAACCCCCTGGGGGGTAAAGCAGCCCCAAACACCCTCACAGCGATAAGCAGCCTGCCATTCATTACCCCTGGCCAGCACTACAAGCAAACCAGCTGACTGGCCACAGCTGCACAGCAGCCAGAAAACAACCCCACCCACAGCAACCGCACAAAGTCTCCTCCCAGCGCACAGCTAACTGGGACAGACAGAGGAACCAGGGCAAAGTCCAGAAGAGAAGACACAAAGGGGTGCCATTCTCACAGGAGAACACACCCAGCCTGTCTGCCACACCCTGCCGTGCGCTAGGCTATCCCAAGGGCCACCCTGCCCACAGCACCTCAGGAGATTATCCCAGAGACTGCTTTTGATGTGCGGGTAGATGGCACAGGCGGTGGAAGCCAGAGCAAGGTCCAGAAGGTACAAAGGGGCACTGTTCTCGCAAGAGAACACAACCAGCACGTCTGCAACCCTCTGCACTGCACTAGGCTATTCCAAGGGCCACCCACACATGGCAGCTCAGGAGATTACCCCAGAGACTGCTCCTGGTGTGCAGGTAGATGACACAGGCAGCGGAGAAGGGCAAGGTGAACAACAAGCAGAAAGGGACTTTGTTCTCACAGCTGACACACGTGCCACCTGCCTGCAACCACTTCTATCACCATGAAAAGACAGAAGAATCTGGTCAAGTCAAAAATCACTCAAGAAAACCCCAGAGAGAGAGCCTGGTGAGATAGATATAACCAATCTTCCTGAAAAAGAATTCAAAATAAAAGTCATAACCATGTTGATGGACCTGCAGAGAAATGCAAAAGCTAAGGGAAGAAGCCCAGAGGGAGAAAACAGAAATGAAACAATCGATAGAAGGTCTTAAAAGCAAACTGGATGAGGTACAAGAGACTGTTAATGGTATAGAAATCAGAGAACAGGAAGACAGAGAAGCTGAGGCAGAGAGAGAGAGAGAAAAGGATCTCTAGGAATGAAAGAATATTGAGAACTGTGTGACCAATCCAAAAGGAACAATATTCACATTACAGGGGTACCAGAAAAGAAGAGAGAGAAAAAGGGATAGAAAGTGTCTTTGAAGAAGTAATTGCTGAAAACTTCCCGAAGCTGGGGAAGGAAATAGTCTCTCTCACCATGGAGGCCCACAGATCTCCCAACACAAGGGACCCAAGGAGGACCACCAAGACATATGATAATAAAATGGAAAAGACCAAAGACAACGACAGAGTATTAAAGGAAGCCAGAGAGAGAAAAAAGATCACCTACAAAGGAAAACCCATCAGGCTATCATTAGACTTCTCAACAGAAACCTTACAGGCCAGAAAAGAATAGCATGATATATTTAATGCAATGAAACAGA